ATCATGGAACACTACATCCAAAACTAATGATGTAATGTATGGTGATTAACATAACAATAAAAATTTTAAAAAAACCTTTTGATGGGTTACTATGACAAAGAGCAAAAAAGTCTAAGGTTTTAGCTTGAAATGCATGATCTTGTCTAACTCTTCAGTTCATATTTTATTTTATTATTTTAATTATTTTTTTATTTTTTTAAAGATTTTATTTATTTATTTGACAGAGAGAGTGAAGGAGCACAAGCAGGGGGAGCGGCAGAGGGAGAGGAAGAAGCGGGCCCCCTTCTGAGCAGGGAGCCTGATGTGGGACTCGATCCCAGGACCCTGGGATCATGACCTGAGCCGAAGGCAGATGCTTAACTATCTGAGCCACCCAGGCGCCCTCTTCAGTTCATATTTTAGTAACACTGAATTGTTGTGGTATCCACAGGCACCATGCTGTTTCACATTTCCATGCTTTCGCTCAGGTTGCTGCCTTGGGTTGGAATACTCTTCCTTCCCTCTGTCAACCAGATAAATCAGTTCAGGAATTATCCTCTGTAAGGCATCTTTTGACACTCTGTTGTGTATAATATAAAAAAGATTCCAAGTGTATATCACTGCATTTATAATACTGAAATCCTCCAGGGAGTCCCCTCAAGCAGGGACCATGTCACACCATTAGCACATGGCACAGGACTCATGGTGTCAAGTGTTCAAAATATATTCTTAGTAAACACCAGGACTTCTTCTGAGGTGAATTAAAAGTTATGGCTCCACACCCAGTGTTGTATGGAAGTGCTGAATCACTACGTTGTACACCTGAAACTTATATTGTGCTGTATAACTAACTGGAATTAAAAAAAAAAAACTTAAAAAAGAAAATTTATGGCTCCCGTTGTCCAACTTTTGCTCCATGCAGCAACAAAAACCATCTCTAAAGAGAAATACAGCATTTGGATAGTGCCTAAAAAGGCGAAGTTTAAATACTATTTATATGACATTTTTCACTTACCTAAATTGCTGTAGGTTGCACTACAGGGATTCAGGTCGATAGTATCTGAAACATCTTCTTTTTCCTCTTCCCTTTCCAGTTCGGGGAGAGGTAACGCTGCTGGAACAGAAGGGCAGCCTCCGTCATCTTGCCTCACAACAACGGATCTTGGATCCCGTGGAGAAAAGTCCTCTGTCACTTCCTGGGTCTTGGGACTGAAACAAATCAGACTGTGGTCACAGTGGCATTCAAAGATCTTGCTAAAATTTAGATTTATGGAATACATATACGTGCCCAAAATGGAAATAACTAGCCCCAGAGTCACAGCAATAAGGCCTAAAATACTTGTCTGAATACAGGGCAGTCCTTCGTACAGGCTGATCCTTCTATTTATCTTGATTCATACATACTGAGAATCCAGTTTGGTAGAGGAAGTACAGTAAGCTCAGAAGGAAGCTTGAGAATAAGAAGGTAAGAAGTGAAACTTTTTTAGGCAAGGGGTGGTGATGGTAGTGGTGGAGAAGGGTGAATGCTTAACTGGTTAAAGACAAAATACATGCGTGCTTAGTGAAGTATTTAGCATACTTACTATACTATAGTACTGTAACATCAAATAATTTACTATATAAACTTTGTTTAGTATTTTACTACATGCTGAAGTATTTAGTAAAGGATCAGGAATAAAGTTGAGATTAGACTAAATAAGGTTAAGCAATTGCTTTAGTAGGTAAACTGAGGCCAGGAAAGTCTTGTTGCCAGGAGGACAGAATCATTAACCTTTGCCTGCATGCATGCAGCAGGCAAAGTGAATGGAAATGAAAGTTCTGCATTCTGGTTAATCTTATCTATTAAAATGAATCTGAAAGATCCTGTTGGCCACATACCACAATATGGCATCCATACTACTTTGTGTTTCCAATCTTGTTTCACTGCTGCCTGCTCATTTGCTTACAGCTGTCTCTTCCAATCTTCCCCACTTCCCAACCCGCCTGAACTGTCAATTCTGTTGCTATAAGTACAAGGGGATGGAATGGTCATTAAATGTTGGTAGAGAAAACTAGCCTAGTTAGAAAATCTCAGGGGCTAGCCAACAAAATAAATTCGAAATCAGGCATCTTTAATGGTTTCTGAAAGTGTTCTTAGACCGTCACACACTCACCAACCCTCCTTTCCTAATTGTTTTGTTTTTGTTTTTTGTCTTTTTATTTTATTTATTTATTTTTAAAGATTTTATTTATTTATTTGACAGGGAGAGACACAGCGAGAGAGGGAACACAAGCAGAGAGAGTGGGAGAGGGAGAAGCAGGCTTCCCGTGGAGCAGAGAGCCCAATGTGGGGCTCGATCCCAGGACCCTGGGATCATGACCTGAGCCGAAGGCAGACACTTAACGACTGAGCCACCCTTTTTTAAAAATGTGGGCAAAGAGAAAGAAGCAAACATCTTATACTATTACATGTTATTTCTGGATTTTCAATTGGCATGATGGCATTTACAAGTTCCTTTAAAAGTGGTACTTTGTTTGATCATGTGTCATCAGAACATACATCATCTGTGGATTTGAGGGTGTAGGATAAGAAGGAGTACCTTCTTATCAATCTTTCATTATGGAAATTATGCATGTGTCTGAACAGAAAAATAAGCCTTGAAGTCTGCTGGATATACAACTTCAAAAATGCTCTTTCAAAGCTGGCAGAGCCAGAGGTCTCTCTATACTGGGAGTGAGCAATGAGCTGGAGGTTCCTTTCTGGTATCTGGCTCTCGAGGACAGTGGTAAGGTGGAAAGGAACCACTCCACTAGCAGCCACTAGGGTGCTTTATGTAAAGGAGGCCTCACACAGTAAAGCATGCTGCCTCTTAATGGGCTGCCCTAGGTCATCAACCTGAAAGAAGGGCTCCAAACAAAACTGGTTTCTCATAATATGGAGCATTATAAAATCAAGGTAAGAAGGGGCCTTTACTTCCCTGCATTAGCAAAGACAAAGCCAAGTGACACTTCTGAGACCCTCTCAGATACCACTTAGTGTCAAGACTGTAGATCACTGAGTAGTTTATCAACAAGCTTTAGAAGGAAATTGATCTTTATTGGGTAGAAGTTAATGTAAGCCATTTCTGATTTCAAAGTACAAGTATATATATAAATATAAAGTGCCATTCTCTTCTTATTTTAGAGTTAATTTGAGAGGTTTCCTAAAATGCTGTTTTTAAGCTCCTAACCTCCGCAAGCTTGCTCTTGCCTTTTCTCTTCCCCCAATCTCATTATTACTAAAAGACAGCTTTCTTTTCCATTATCAAAAGGGATTGGTAAAGATTGGTTCAGAAACCATGACTACCCTCCCTTGTCTGTTTTCCTCCCAAGCAATGGGCTATTTACCATAAGCCTCAGCTATTGTGAAACCTATAGAAAGAGGTGGTGCTATTAAACCGTGAGGAATTCCCTGGGCCTGCTCCCCACATACATGAAACACAGCTCTGTGCTCCTAAGGGCTTCTCAATACAGACGCTAAAAAGCAAGAAAGGTTGAAGACTCACCCACTGTACTCACTCATACAATTCCCCATTAAACGATATTCTATAGGGCCTTCTTCAGTCTGTTAATCATGTTCTGAAGCTCTGATGTACCAGAGATCCCACTGAGCTCAGGAGGACTATAAGTTGGGTAAGATACAAGTTTCGAATTCTGCACCTTAATATCATCTACTGCACCTTGACCTTTACCTTAGGGGTTTGGTCTGGGAAATGTGCCAAACTACCTCTGGGAAGCAAAGTGAAAACTAGTTTTATTAACTCTTTGAGGATCAGGGCAGGACAACCTATATTCCACATAAAGATTAGTTTTCATAAGCACATTTTAAATAAGTACACTGGTATATTAAATCACCAATTAAAATAATCATCAACTATAAAGAACTATGCAAAGAGAGCTGATGAAAGTAAAATCACAAGGAATTGCAAATGGATGCTAGGATGTTTAATCAGCAGTGACAGGAGAGTCTAAAAGGAAGAATTTTTTAAGAAAAATGCATCAATGATCTGTCACGTCTTGATGCTTGAGGGAGGAACAGCTCTTTGTATGATGAAAATGGTAAAAGAGAGGTGGGAAAGGGAGAGGATTTGAGAGTTCAAACTTAGATGTGATAACATGCTATGGCTAAAAAATGAAAAAGAACTGAGATAAGCATTGGAGAAGGTTGACTCAGTCACTACTATCAATAGACAAATTATCTAGGAAGAAAGAAGGAAGTAAAATCTGACAACTTATCTAAGGCATATTAATTTTTTAACGGAATATAATTTTTTAAAAAAGATTTTATTTATTTATTTGACAGAGAGAGACACAGCGAGAGAGGGAACACAAGCAGGCGGAGTGGGAGAGGGAGAAGCAGGCTTCCCGCTGAGCAGGGAGCCCGATGCGGGGGCTCTATCCCAGGACCCTGGGATCATGACCTGAGCCAAAGGCAGATGCTTAACGACTGGACCACCCAGGCGCCCCGGGAATATAATTTTTGACCATTGATTTTTGGTGCCATATTTAGATATGAAATCAGAAAACCCTCCCAAATAATAAAACGACACTTTTCAAATACAGACTTTATCTCCTAACAAAGTGGTTTACCACCAGTATTTCATCGAGAAATGTTTAAGATAATGGAGAAAACACCAAAATGGGAATCCAAGAACCCAGCTCTGATTCCCTATTCCTTGATCATCTGTACAAACTAGAGGACAGCATCAGGAAGGAGATAATGAACAAAACGAAAATTTCCCCCTCATCTATGAGACAGAGGGTTAAAAAAAATCCTTAAAATGAAATTACAAGAAAGCTACTAGAATTTCCAATACATACTATCTTAGCACATCTTGAAATAACAAATATGACAAGGATAACTAGATTTTTTTCAGGTAAGTACAATTTGATATTCATTGATACAAAACAGAACTGTTAACCGATAAATGTCCCACAAAGAGGACCCTATGGCTTTTCTATTTCTACTAGTCAAATTCATGTTGAAACAATCCCTAGTTCCATGGTGCTCTGTAGAATGTCTACAGTAACTACGGTGTTGACATCTAGGTCCTTAATTGTCAGGCTGGGTCACACCCCGACTTAGCCTGCTATTTTCCTGGACCCTCAGCATTCACTCTGTTTTCATAATGGAAGACAACACAAGATTGTGTGTACCTCAGACTCTTCAACTTACTTTTTCATTAATGACCAGTTTATAATTGAGATTCGGAATGTCTGACCCAACACTTAAAAAATCACGTCATAATCTCCATGAAGACATCTCATTTTCTGAACGTGGAGAATGAACTTAAGGTGTTCAAAAGAAACTGTAACATTGTTACAGATTTGTCTGTTATACAAACGAATCCCTTGGTAAGGTGATCTCTCATCAGTCTGCAACATTCATACATAATTCAAATCTGCACAAGCAGTCTCCTGTGGGAAGCTTACTTGGCTTACCCAGGTGGTAGGATTAATCATTACACCATCAAATGAAAATGATCTTTTTTTTTTTTCCTGGCAAATTTATTCAAGACAGATTTTTGTAAAAATTCTGTTAAAAGTCTGAATGTACTTTTTGAAAAGGCAAATTAATTCTGCATTAGAGTCCTTTATGCATCCAAGTATTTCCACAATTTCTGTTCAACTTTATCTTCAAATTCAACAGCCTCCACTCAGCTTCAGAAGGGATAGTAAATGAAGCTTCTACAGAGACCATCTGCCTCTTTGGGCAAATGGTATTCTAACTTCCCATTTGCCAGCTCTCTTTGGCAACAACTTTTGTCTCTATTTGCCCAAGAAAGCCAATTAACAAATGTGTGATTTTTAAAACCTCTTTTTACCCCTAAAATTCAGATCAAAGCATATCAGAAACAGCATATCACAGTTCTGTTAACTGGTTTCAGAGCTGCTGATTTCTGGGGTTGCTGGGGATGATGGACTTTTGCAGAAATGGAATATATACCAACACATGAGGAGAGTTCAAAGTTATCAAATCCCACACCTTTAATCTATCACAAGGAGGAAAAACTCTGTCTCTTTCTGTTCCTGTAACCCCTGCCAATCTGACATTTCATAATCCTATCTTAGTTTCCAGGTCATCAACTTGATTTTGCTACATTTTCCAATAACTGGCATTCTCAGGTAGAAAAGTGTTGTGTCCATTGATCACTATCTTAGTGTCTCCCATTTTCCACTAAGACTTCTGT